ATCGCGCCGCTGCGACTCTGTCATGCGGCCTCCGAGGTGCTTTGCGAGCTCGAGCAGCCCGCCCTGCACGGCCTGCGTGGCGGCGAAGACGACGTCCTCGAGCGGGACCGCGCCACTCGTCGTCAGCCAGCCATCGGCGTTCATGCTGGCGTTGTCCACCGCCTTGGGCCTGGCTGCCGCGATGAAAAAGAATTCCCGCGGGATGAGCCAACAGGCCCTTTCCCTGCGAACGCGCTACCCCCGAGGGCTCTCTTGCCCGCAACCCGATACCGATCATCCGGTGGCGCGAACAGCTTCAGCTTTTCTCGCCCGCTCTGCTGAGGGCGAGGCGCCGAGCTACGGTTCCAACGCTGCAGCACTCTCCCTCTATTCACAGCAGAGATGGCGACGCGTCCTTACGCGCGTCCTCGTCCCCACCTGCTTTGCTTCAACGTGCTGCCATGGAGCCAGCGCGCCTCGCGCCATGATTCAATCGCCATGGCCGGAGCGCTGTGGATCGCAAAGGCCCATGGGCCGCTGCGCAGGGCGGCACGCGCAGGCGCTACACAGATCAGAGCATTGGCGCCGAGAGCATTCATTTCCGCATTCAGTTGTCGTTGTTCTGTCGGCTCGAACAGCCCGTACAGCCATTCAGCGGCTGGTGGACGGCGCGCAGTCTCCACGCGGATCCGCATCTCGTGCACACCGCAAGGCGCCGCCACCACATGGACCAGCCCGATGGACTGTGTTTGTGGTCGGGGTGGACAGTTTGCTGTTCAGCGTATCATTGAGCAGGATGAGATGAGCGTCTAGTGGTGACGCGGGTAACGGGCGAGGTCCTGGGTGCAGAACCCGCCCTGACTCTGCCGATCCACTGGATGCGACTCAACTGCTGATACCGAACTTGTGCTGGCGGGCAGTGATTTGTGAGCGTATCGTTCAAGATTGGGGTCAGCCCACCCAACGGATGGCCGTTCGGTCGTACGACATTCGACTCGACTGTGGACTCACTCCGTGCCAGTCGTCAGCCGCCAGTTCAACGCTCGCAATGCGGTATGAACGCGGTGTCCGCGGCGGTGAGCTGCGCAGTTGGTCATTGTTCTTCGTTGCAGAGTCTTTTCTCGCATTGCTAGGCAACCCACCAAGGCCCATCGACGGCCAGCGCCCAAGGTCTGATTGTGCCCCCGGCTGTGCGTCAGCAGCGGCTTCAGACAGGGCCTGCGCTTGAAGGGGATTTTACATTTACGGGCTCTGCCAGCAATGCGTGGAAGGCGACGCGACGGTTGAAGGGTACTGTCCAGAAGGGCACTGTCGCTCCGGGTCGGGCGACGGTGCCGCAGTGTCGCTCCGGGTCGGGCGACACTGCTCGCGGCGTCCGGGTCCTGCGCCTCCCGACGAGGTCGGACGGCGTTGTATGTATGTATATAGGGAGGTCTCCCACCCTCTCAGGCATTTCTCCTCCCTGCTGCTCGCCGACTCCTCCTCCCCCCGCATGACCGACGACTACCCGACCTTCGGCGACTCCTCCCTCTTCGGCGCCAACGCCTACTACCCGTTCGGCCCGGTGAGGGGCGGGAGCGCAGCCATTCCAACGGCTGGGAAAATTTCTGAACGGCCGTGCATGCGTCTGCATGCCGGACAACTAAGAAGGTCCCTCGCTCCCGCTCCTCTCTCGGAAGACGCGCGCCGGCCTGGGGGACTCGCTTGCGATCCCGTTCCAGCCAGAGGCCGCGTGAGGCGTGTGGGACGGTGCACGCTGGGGCTCGGCCCCGAGTGCGCTGGCCTCGCGTCTCGAGGGGAGGGCGGCTCGTAACTGAGGTCCGCCTGCGGAGACAGTCGTCCTCCCCTCAACCCGGCGTGAGGGGCGGGAGAGCGCAGCCATTCCAGCGGCCGGGAAAGTTTCTGAACGGCCGTGCATGCGCCTGCATGCCGGCTTACTAAGGAGGTCCCTCGCTCCCGCCCCTCTCCCGGAAGACGCGCGCCGGCCCGGGTGACTCGCTTGCGAGGTAGATCCCGTTCCAGCCAGAGGCCGCGTGACCACCACGGGGACGGCTGGTCGAAGGAGGAGAGGTCATCCGGATGTGGGCGGGACGCCCCCGGGCACCTGGTTGCTCTCCTCTTCCAGAGTCCCTCCCGACGGGGACCGGTCTTGGGCCATTCCAACGGCCAGGCCGCTCGCTTAAGGCTGATTGGCTAGACGAGCGGCCTACCTCCAACGGGGCGGTCCGGGAACGCGTGGAACCTGCCCACCTCGGTGGGAGGTGGTTTGGCGCCGACGGACCGCCCTCTCCACCACCCTCGCCCAGGGATCTACAGCGCTGTCTCAAGGTCCGACCTGTGGGCTCTGCCTGCGCTCGGCACCGGGCACCGCCTCGGTATACAAAATGCGCCTGCGGGCGGACCCTCACAGATCACAGATCACAGATATATAGGGAGGTGAAGTCTGAAGAGCAGTCAGGCTCGGACTGGACACCAGCGCGGTATGGGTGGACGCGAGATCTCTCTCTCAGATGATGACGACACGCTCGATCGAGCGACACACAGACACAAACAAGCTCACAGACAGGACACACACACAGCCAGCGTCGCCGCCACACACCCTGAGTTGGCGTACACACAACTCAGGGCCACGTCCTCCCTGTCGCCCCCCCCAGCACTCCAAGGTGCACTCCAAGGTGAAGATTGATGTCGGCGAAAAGAAATGGCTGGCGAAATAGAGAAGAAATACGCAAAAGATGCTGCTTGAGGCGCACCACGCCGCGGCGCGCAAGATCGTGCTGGCGGTGCACCGCGACCTCGAGCAGCTGGAGACTGGCCGCAACGTCTCGCTCGATCTGCAGCTGCAGATATCGCAGAACCTCAACGCGCTCGCTCGGGAGCTGCACGAACTCGAGCGGCTGCTGCCAGGCGAGCGCAACTCGACCATCTGGCGGAGGAAGATCGTGGAGCTGCAGGAGGAGTCGCGGAGCCAGCGCGCGGCCCTCACTCGCTTTACCTCCAGCGCGCGGCAGCAGCAGCGCGAGGCAGCAGTGCTCTCGCCCAGCGCCCGCCGCCGGTGGCGCCAATCACGCCCGATGAGGACGCACGCTTTCGCCGCAGGCGGAGGAGCGCGACGCGCTGTTTGAGCGGCGGCGCCACAACGGTGGCGATCAGCACGCCATCGCGATGGACGGTCTGCTCGATGAGTCGAAGCGGATCCGCGAGGCGGACTCGCAGCTCGACGCCTTCATCGGGAATGGCTACGCGGTGCGTGGCGCTCCCTCCCCGCCTCCGCCTGGCCCAGCGGCGCCGAGACCACCCCGCGGCGGGTGCGCGCAGGTGCTCGAGGCGCTTGGCCAGCAGCGCTCTGCGCTCAAGGGCATCGAGCGCAAGGTGCTCGACTTGGCAAACACGCTCGGGGTCTCCAACTCGGTGATGCGCGTCATCGAGCGGAGACAGCTCGTCGACAAGGCGATCGTGTACGGAGGCATGCTGCTCACCCTCTGGCTGCTCTGGTTTGTCTTTGTGCATTTGCGACGGCCCGCGGAGGCAGAGGCGGAGTGACGGAACACCGTGGCGGGCGTGGCCATACGCCCGGCCAGCGCAGTGACCAGTGTGATCTTATAAAGTGTTACGAGAGTGTGCGCGGATGCGAGTGAGTGCGACCCATGCCGCGCGCCGTATTTCAAATTGCACGCATAGAGAGACGGGGCCGGCCGGGCGGGGCCGCGAGCGACGCGAGAAGAGAGAGCGCGCCCGTCAGCGCGCCCGGACGACCCTCTCCGCTCTCGAGAGAGGCCCGCGCCCGCGGCCGCGGCCCGCGCGGCGCCTGTGCGCGCCGCGGCGCGCCGTATGCGCGTGCTCCCTCTTGCGAAATCGGGAATGTACGTGGTAAGAGCCACTTCCATGCCACAGAC